GCCCCGCGCGCTCGGTGCGTGGCCGGCGACATGGACGGCTGATGGCGGGCGGGCTGGGCGCCGGAGCCGGCCGCCGCCGGGAGGGGGTATCGATCCGTGACGGCACCGCCTGCCCGCATCTGCGGTCGCCGCGCGCTGACCGGCCGCTGCCGCCGCTGCCGCCGCTGTCGCCGCCGCCACTGGTGCCGACCCGATGACCTGGCCGGGTCAGTCGGTGACCGGTGACGGCCGGTGCGCCCGCCGGCGGCCGCTCGTCACCGTCGGCTAATTATAGCCGGCCGCCGGCGCGTCTTCGCCGGGACCGGTGCACGCCCGTACAGTGGCTAGCATGGGGTCAGTGGTCACCGCCTCGGCTGCCGGCCGGCCAGAGCGTGTATCCGCCGAGGAGTCGGGCCGCTTTTTAATCGCTGCTCCCAAGGCCGCGGTGATGAGACAGGCGAGCCGTTGCCGAGGGTTACCCCTCCCCCGCAGCCTGAGGCTCCCGGCCCGTAAGGTGCTGCCTGTGCATGCACATGTCATGCTTACCGAGCCTGGTGGTTGGTGGGAGTGGAGGGGCCGAGAGTCGTAGCTGGGCGTTTTTGTGACGGGTTGCTTCATTATAATATGGCGCTCGATGGTCTCCGCTCCCTTTTCTGTTTATGGCGGATAAATTGACGTCTTCATACGAGCCTCTCGAATAACTCAGCTTTTGAAGTATCGTCGGTTGTGGAGTGGTGCTCATGAAACCCGTGCTGGTAAATAGGCGGTCGTTTGTATCTGCAGAAGACCGGGGCTCGGTGACGATATTGCAGTCGGCTTTACGAGCCATCGCTCACCCTGAACATTTGCGAACCGCGCGCTCGGGTCCTCCCACCCCGGGCGCGGGCCGGCGGCGGCAGGACTGGTGGTACCGCCAGAGCGGGCGGGCCCGTGCGGCGCCCGTTGGTCTGCGGCAGGCAGCCGGCCGGCCGGTGCCGTGACGCCGCACCTGGCCGCACCGCGCCGGCCGCCGCGTCTCGCGGTATCGACCCGTCGCAGAGCGGCGCGGCGGCCGGCCCGTCTCCACCGGGCCCGCCGCCGCGGCGTCATCGCACCAGCTGCGCCCGCCGCCGCCACCGCCGCCGCCGCCGCCGCCGCCGCCGCCGGGCGCCGCTGGTTTACGAGCTCGCCGCGGCCGCCCGCGTGGGTGCTCGGCGACCGGCGGCCCGGACCGGCCCGTCGGCCTCAACGGAGCCGGCTGTCTCGCGATCGTTGCGTGCTGTCCTGATCGGGCTGTCGCGGACGCTGTTGGACGCGTGAGGCTGGGAATGCTCCTCCCAAAAAATTGTGAGGGGACGGGCGTGCACTCCCGTTATAGCTGGGTCCTTTCACATCCACGCAGTGAGCTCAAATGCCAGATGGTGGCGGTATTCCTCATGCTCCTTGCTGCTGTTGTCATGCTGGCGAGCTCTGGGATAAGTACATGTCTGGGATACCGGGACCTTAACGACGCCCGTCGTTCTTCGACCTCGTGATCCAATGAGCTCAGCTATGTCGGGTGCAAAATCCCCTCCATTGAACCAGTTGAAGACTTCAGGATACTTATAGATCGTCGGACGTGATCGTTGTTGACGGTGCACATAAGTTTGCCTCGAATCTTTGCAGAAAGTTGTAAAACTCCTTTCGTTCGCGTGATTCTCGGAAAACTCGCTGAGATATTAATTGCATGAGGTTATGGAAGGAACGCGGGACGTATACTACAGCAGATGTCGCCTCGCAGCCTTTGTCGCTGAACTGCGAAACGGCACTTCCTTCCTAGTTTGGTGTCGCTCCCGTCCCTCGGTGCAGTGCGTGACAGAGGCTGCATGACGCGAACACACGAACGCCCTGATGTGATGCTCGCGATACGTTATAAAACTGCTCTACTTCCTCATTTTGATGTCATATGCCGCTTAGCAACTGTCCTCGAAACATTGTGGAGGAGACCGACACATGCGTTAAATGGTTGCGTTTATAGTGTTGCGAACAGCCGTGTCACTCGCCCTGATTAGTTTCCCCTTCCCCTGGTATGGTGGGCGTTTAATTGCCCCGCTGATGCCTTTGGTACTTGCTTTTTATACGCCCCAGAGACGGCCAATCGACATTTCGAAGCACGAGCAGAAACATTGTCTTACGACCTTGTAGTAAAGTGCTGAAAGCCTTCAGCGGTTCAATGCTTGAAAAATCGTCTTCGGTGATTCTGCGCTGCCGCTGTGACCAGCTATGGGATCTGAGGGGGGGGGGGGGGAGGGGCGGGTTTCAACCCGTCGTTACCCTTGGAAAGCCGCGTCGGCGTTGGTAAACCGCCGCTGGCCGCCCTGGGACCGGTGTTTCGGAACTAAATCAGCCCTGCGCTGTGTGGATCCCCGGCGCCCGGCTGGCTGGCGTTGAATTAGTGGCGGCCGGCGGGCGGGTGGTGGCGAGCCCGAGCGGCGCGGCAGAGGCTGGACTGACCCCCGGTGCTGCCCCGGTCGGCTCCGGAGTAAACCAAGTTCGAGCGCAGTCCGAGCGGAATCGATTTCGCTGAGCTGAGATATTTTGCGAGTCTGATGGGAATCGCTGAGCTGATGGGTCGGCTGAAGTGGACATGGACAGCAGAGTGACGAGTCAGCAGATGCTTTTATTCTGATAGCTGTTGGATGAATTGCTCGTGCAGGGTTCTATGGAGCTCAAGGACAGTATCTCTTACTATGTCATTGTAGCCAGCTTTATCGGAGTGCATTCCGGAATTCAGACTCGTCTCAAGTCGGAATCGGCCTCGACTTCAAATTGTGCCGTGCTGCTCGGAATCGAAAACGAACCCCACGCGCTGCGGGCTGCAGTCTGAGAACGCTGGAGCGGAATCCGACCCAAGTTTACCGGCTGGAACAGCCCCGTGTAGGTGTGCGCGGGGGCGTGCTGTCCGGCTGGCCGTGCTCCCTCGCCGGGGTCGTACGGCCGGTGGCGCCGCTGCCGCTGCCGCTCCTCTGTCTTCGTCCGACGACATTTCGCTGTGTGAGGCCGGCGGCCCCCGGGTTCTGCCCAATGCACGGTCATCTGAAGGAAGTCTTCTGCTGGCTATGAAAGGCTTGATGGATGTGAACTGAAGAAGGTTGCGGCGGCTGGGTGTCTGACATGCGTGACCGGTTCAAACCGGTACTGCTCTAGTCTGACCGGTTGGTCAACCGCCTCGCCAGTGATGGGTCAGGTGTCGTTGGCGCGAGCGGCGTTCTTTTCGTTTCGTCGCGTTTAGGATTGCGGTGTCGGTCGTGCCGTTGCACGGCAGGCCCTGCAGCGGATGCTCGGGACTGAGATCTTCTCAGCGGCCCGGTGGTGGGGGGATCGCTCGATGGGATCCCCCGTACTTTTCCCGTGCGGCCGCCGCCTCGGCGCCGGGGACAGAGCCGGGCGGCGGGCACGACCGAGAGGCCACTGACCGCTCCCCGGTCAACCCGGTTAGGGCCACTGGCAGCGGGCGCCGTCCGCGTCACCAGGCGTGCGACGCCGCCGGAGGTGACCGGGCCGGATGTTGACCATGCCGTGTGTGGCGCCGGCCCCAGTTCGGCCGGTGCCCGGATGGCCGACACCGGTCCACGCCCGCCACCTCCCTCCCCCTCCCCCCCCCCCCCCCCCCACCTTTCCGCTGCCAGTCACCTTTGGGCGGCGCCGCTGGCCCGGTGGCTGCGCTGCCGGCCGCCCGCCGCCGCCGGCCGACCGGCCACCCCGCCTCGCCTGCTCACCAGACACCTTTGTGTGGCCCTTGTTTGGCCGGCTCTTATTTTGGCGACGGATGGCCGCGAACCCCCGTCTGCCACCCCCGGTTCCATCGGCTGGCCACTGAAACTGATGCACGGCAAAAACAATGAAACAAAAGCACTGACGACTGCGGAGACCAGCGGGATTTCTTCGCACGGCTCGTGACATGCGTGTGCGAGTGATCTCCGTGATGAGCGGCGCCCGGTTGATGGCACCGCCGGCGGCCCGCCGTCGCCGTGACCCGCTTGCGTCGTGTTGCGTCGGGCTCCGCAATTAGAGGCGGCCAAAGCGGCGCGGTCGGCGTCGTCGGCTGGCGGCTCGCTGCGATCGACACGGCCCGAGTGCGCCGCAGGGGGAGGGGCCGTCTCGCTCTGACCCCGGCTGGAGAGCGGTCGGCAATGACCGATGCGAGGTGGTCCGGTCGAGCGAGGCGTGTCGCGACCACCATCGCTTATCCGCCGATGTGTGGCAGGCGGGTGCAAGCAGAAGTCGGCGGTGATATGGCTCTTCCCCCCGTGC